GACCCTTCTTCAGAAAAGAAGGGTCTAGGCCCGAAACGTCAGCCTTCCTTCTCCTCTGATGCTGCTTGGCCTGCTGTGTTCATCCAGCTCTACACCTTGTTATCATGGAATGGAGTGAGCAAGGTTGGGGTTGGGGAAAGTTCAGGGCATGACTGAAGGTGTTAAAGTGAGAAGAGGGAGAGAGAAGTGACGGAAAAGGTAGGGCAGGTAGCAATGAAGGATTAATGGAACAAATCTAAAGAAAGAGCAATGGAGAGGGTTCAGAAGAGACTTACAAGGATGTTGCCAGGACTAGAGGGTTTGAGTTAATGGGAGAAGCTGTTTAGGCTGGAACTTTTTTGACTGGAGCCTAGGAAGTTGAGGGGTGACCTTATAAAGGTTTATAAATTCATGAGGAGCATAGATGAGGTGAATAGCAAAGGTCTTTTCCTAGGGTAGGTGAGTTCAAAGCTAGAGGGCATATTTCTAAGGTGAGAGGAGAAAGATTTAAAAGCGACCCGAAGGGGCAACCTTTTCACCCAGATGGTGTTTCATTTGTGGAATGAACTGCCAGAAGGAGTGTTGGATGCATGTACAGTTACAATATTTAAGTGACATTTGGACAGGTAGATGAATAGGTAAGGTTTAGAGGGAAATGGGACAAATGCAGGCAAAAGGGATTTGTTTAGTTTGGGAAACTTGATCAGCATTGACGAGTTGATCGAAGGATCTGTTTCCATGCTATATGACTCTATGACACTATGACGAAGGGGCTGGAGGGTGCATGTTCATTGATATTTTTAGTTGGTGGACATATTGAGAGACTGGTTGGAAAGCAAATGGAACCTTGGGTTTCAAGATCAGAGAGATAGCAAGAACTGCAGATGCTGGAGTCAGACATAACACGGTGTGGAGTTGGAGGAACACAGCAGGCCAGGCAGCATCAGAGGAACAGGAAAGCTAACGTTTTGGGTCGGGACCCTTCTTCAGGAAACCGACCCGAAAGGTCAGCTTTCCTGTTCCTCTGATGCTGCCTGGCCTGCTGTGTTCCTCCAGCTCCACACTTTGTTATTTCAAGATCAGAGCCCACTTTTGAGTGCAAAAGCACTGAAACCTTTACAAAGCTCCTCCATGCCTAGAGAATTACATTCGGGCCTGGTCACCACACTTCAGGAAGGATGTGACAATCCTTGAGAGTGTACAGTTGAGATTTACTAGAAAGGTTCCTGGGATGTGAGATTTTAACAACAAGGTTGGGTTGGAGAAGCTAGGGTTGATATCCTTGGAGCAAATGAAATTGAAGCAGTGAAGAAATTGTACAGGATTATGGCAAGATTAGATAAGGCAGACAAGGAAACTCCTCTCATCTATTGATGGTATAAGAACTAGGGGAAACAGACTTAAGATTTTGGCATGAGCTGTCAGGGAAATATAAAGAAGAACTTTTTTACCAATGTAAGACCTGGAGCTCATTGCCTATGAAGGTGGTGAAAGCTGAGATTAATGGTTTCAAAAGGATGTTGGAACAAAAGATGAAGGAAATAGACTTGCAAAGTTGAGATGGCAGGAAAATGGGACTGACTTGGTTGCTGGATAGACAGCTGGCATAACCTGACTGCGCCAAATGGCATCCTACTGCACTGTATTTGACTTGCTGACTCTAGAAAGGAGGGAGGAAGATGCAGCAAGGATAGAAGAAGAGAAAAAGACCTCAAACCTGTAGTTTGCCCTAAAACCTGTGTGACTTCCCCTGTGCAGAGTGTGGTTCCAGGCCTCGATATACACCTCGGATTGTTGGTGGGAACGTCTCGATGGTTGGTAATTGGCCTTGGCAGGCAAGTCTTCACTTCGATGGACAGCATCTGTGTGGAGGATCCATCATTGCTTCCCAGTGGATAGCGACTGCTGCACATTGTGTTATTGAGTAAGTCATTGCCTCACAACTTGAACAAAAGGTCGCGATAAAAGCGACCAAATGTATCAGATAATTGGCATATGGACTGGATTGATGGCTTTGAGCTACAAAAAATGACATTGTTCTCTCATCAAATCAAAGGGCTGAAGTCATACCTCACTAAAATATGAATTCCCCTCTCCTGCACTCCACCAGTTTAAGGTCAACTCAGCAACAATCGATCATGTTTGCATCAGCACAATCCTTTGAATTCCTTTCTTTCTGGTATTTTCTATGACCATCCATTCTTTGTCCCACTCAACATACTCGTCTCAGGCCAATGGGTAGGAGGTAGATATGGAGAGCAGACCATTCAACCTCTTCCTAGCCAATTTGTTTCAGAAAGACCGTAAGACCGTAAGATATAGGAGCATGCTGGTGGAGGTGATGGCCTAGTGGCATTATCGCTGGACTGTTAATCCAGAGACCCAGATAACGTTCTGGGGACCTGGGTTTGAATCCTGCTATGGCAGATGGCGGAATTCGAATTCAATAAATATCAGGAATTAAGAATTTAATGATGACCATGAATCCATTGTCAATTGTCTTAAAATCCCATCTGGTTCACTGATGTCCCCTAGGGAAGGAAACTGCCATCCTTACCTGGTCTGGCCTACATGTGACATTGTAATAAGCAATGTGGTTGACTCTTAACTGCCCTCTGGGTAATTAAGGATGGGCAATAAACGCTGCCTAGCCAGTGACACCCGCATCTCGTGAATGAATTAAAAAAAAATTCGGCCATTTGGCCCATTGAGTCTGCTGCACCATTTGATCACAGTGGATACGTTCATCCATCAATCAGCTTTCCCTCCATCACCAGGTCTAGCTGTTTCTCAAATCATTCCCCCATTTCTTTCCCAGTTCCATGCTGCATGTGGACCCCTCTTTGGTGACAAACCTTCATGGAATCACTAAATGGTTGCAGTACAGAAGGAGGCCATTCAACACAAAGTGTCTGCTCTGGTTCTCCCAGTAAGCAATTTGCAAAGTCCCCAATTTCTCCATGTACCCCTGCACATTGATCCTCTTCAGGTACTAATCTAATTCCCTCTTGAATACCTCAATTTAACCCACTTTTACCACCTTCTCAGGCACTGCATTCCAGATTTTAAACAGTCCTTTATCTTGAAGAGGTTTCTTCTCAAGTCTCCCTTGCTTGTATTGCCTTAAATCCATTGCCCTCTCATTATCAAACCTTCCTCAGTAGGGACAACTTTATTTAATCTGGGATTAGATTAGTTTAGGATATCTGGTCGGCATGGATGAGTTGGACCAAAGGGTCTATTCCCATGCTGTCCATCTGTATGACTTTATGATGCTATAGACCCCTTATGATTATGAATACTTCCAACAAACTCCTCTCAACCTTCTCTTCCACAAGGAAAATGGTCACAATTTTTCCAATCTATCTGTGTAACCAAAGTTTCTCATCCTTGTTTACATCCTTGTATGTCTTTTCAATGCCTTTTCACCTTTCCAACAGTGTCTTACAGAGAACTGGACACCATTCTCCAGCTGAGGATGAACCAATGTTTTATACAAGTTTACCATTGCTGACTTATAACCTCATCTTGCTCACATGCCTCTCTCATTGAGGGCTATGAAACTGACTTGTTTCCTGCACCATCAAAGATCATATAATTTTGGTGCTGTTTAATTGTTTGAAATGTTAGCTGTTGACAGTCGACAGTGAGTCTGGTGATTGTCAGGGTTCAACAGTCTATCCCCCTAACTCTAAATCCCTCTAATTAATCCCTCTGAGATTAATTAATCCCTCCTGAGATCAGGATAGAGCAAGAAACAGAACAGTGGAGAAGAGAAATGTGAGAGCTGAACAGGAAGGGAATGCACGTGGAATGTGTTTCCTCAGAAATGTGGTGGGGTCAGGTTCAGTTAAAGCATGCAACAGGGTATAGGACGATTGTTTGGATTGAAATGGTGTGCAAGGTATATAAGGAAAAGGCTGGAGATTGGCATTAGGTAATAGAATTGGTGCAGGCACAATGGGCTTCTTCTGCACTGTAACAATACAGTGACTCTCTTTCAGGAAGAGAGTAAGGCTTTTGGAAGGAATTTCTAAACATAGAGCTTGGGCAGGTGAAGATGTGGCAGCAATGGTGGAGCTATGGAAATCCGGGGATTGCTCAAGAAATCAGAATTGGAGAGGCTTCATGATTTCAGATTCATGTGTGCCTGGAGGATGTTGCAGACATATGGAGGCCATGGAGGGATTTGAACACAAATAAGGGAATTTGAAAATTCTCTCCTTATTTAATAGAGAACCAATACACAATAATAAATCCACATTTATCCGTTGATGCCTGGGTGGGTACAGTCCCAACAACACTCAAGAAGCTTGGCACCATCCAGGACATAGCAGCCTGCTTGATTGGCACTACATCCACAAGCACCTATTCCTTTTGGTACTGATGCTCCATGGCAACAGTGTGTACTATCTACAAGAAGCACTGTAGAAATTCATCAAAGATCCTCACACAACACCTTCCAAACGCACCACCACTTTCATCCAGAAGGACAAGGGCAGCAGGTACATGGGAACACCACCACTTGCAAGTTCCCCTCCAAGTCACTTACCATCCTGACTTGAAAATATATCATCGTTCCTACACTGTCACTGGGTCAAGATTCTGGATATTCCTCCCTAACAGCATTGTGGGTCAACACACAGCAGGTGGACTGCAGTGATTAAAGAGGGCAGGTCACTACCACCTTCTCTAGGGCAACTAAGAATGGGCAATAAATGCTGACCAGCCAATAACGCTCACATCCACAAATGAATTTTTAAAAAATTGCGCGAGACAGGATATGATGTCAGAGTTTGGAATTAGCACATTTCCAGGGGGTGACAAGTGAGCGGATTGTAATTGTCAAGCCTGAGTTTATATAGGACAATTGGCAAAATAGCCTTGCCAATGGAGGACAGAGCGCACATGGGAATGATGTACCTGCAATAGCACCTGAAAGAGCAAAGGACAGAAACCTAAGATAACCAATAAAAATTATCTCCCACATTGAGATTCTGACTTTATGAGAATAATTTTCTAATCTTACCCTAAAGTATGACTTCTTAATTGGAAGAAGAAGGGTATAGGAGATCTCTGAACCAGCATTTCAACAATGTGTAATCTAATTCAGCGCTGTCCATTCTGATTTCAGGTTTATATTTCTCTCCTCATGGAAAGTATATGTTGGAATTGTAGAGCAGCCACTGACTGATAGTTCATCCTACGTTGTGGAGAAGATCATATATCACAAGAAATACAAAGGACGGACTTATGATTATGACATTGCACTCATAAAACTGGCGAGGCCATTGATGTTTAATGGTAATTTTATCTCCCATTTTGCGAGCTCATGAAAGGTCCTTAACTTTGGTCTTTGGACCCATTCTGAAAATTAAATGGAATGACAATTGTCTATGAGGAGCATTAGCTACCTTTTCATTCAGGCCCTAGATCAAGATTTAGTCCAAATTGTTTGGATAAAAGTCTCCTCCCTTTGCTAACCTATAGCATTACCATCTGAGAATGAAGAAATGCCTATTTTTGATAGAATTCTTGCTGAACCTAAACCCACAGTGACTGTACATAATTACAACTGTCTTAGCACTGACACAGTACTCAGATTGGCTACATAAAAAGCAAGTGTTGCAAATAGCATTTTACAATATCCCTCTGCTGAAATTAAAACTTGTTTAAGATGAACTACCTCAGCCCAACTTAATCCTGGCTTGCTCTAGGGATTAGCAGGTTTGCTGACTTGGGGATATATCTGACTCAGTATGGCTTTTGTCTTCAAAAGACAGTATTGAGTTGTGGTCAGAGTAGATAGAGCTTTATTCTGATCAGACACTCTTGACCTGTCTGACTTTGTTATTTCCTGCTATCTATCTGGATCAGGCAAAAACTAGATCATTTGTTAACTCACTGAGGTAGACAGGGAGATACAGAATTGGATACCTGTCCAATAATGCCCCATAATTAAAATTCTCATTCATTGTTTGCATGACTCGTCATAGCATTGCTATCTCTGTCATCTCCATCTGATCTACATTTTCAGGGATCTCTGCATTCGTCCAATTGTGGCCTCTTCCACTTTACCAGTTTTCATTGATGCAGCCTTTGTGGTTGGACCTTTAACTGTCTGACTCCTAAGCTTTAGACTGGCAAGAGAAATGGGAGAGTCTAGGAACAGAGGGCATGGCCCCGGTAAAAAGGGGCACCAGTTTAAGGCTGAGATGAGGAGGAATTCCTTCTCTCAGAAGGCTGTGAGTGTTTGGAACTCCTCTCCACAGAATGATTTGGGGACAGAGTCCTTGTGTGTATTTAAAGCTGAGATTGATATGTTCTTGATCAGCAGGAGGAATCAATGTTCCTGTTGAATGGTGGAGCAGGTTTGAGGAGCCAGATAGTCTACCTCAGTTTCTATTTCTTATGATCTTATAACAGAGAAAGTAATATATCCACGGTCTCTCTCACAATTCTTGCATGCTTAAAAACAGAGTGCATCAACTCAAGAGAATTTAAGACTCAGTTTTATTGTCTAACCTGGTGAATTTAGGATTCTGTTTTGAAATTCTAGTTTTGCTGAGAGCTTATGGGAAATTTCTTTTTTTTTATAAAACACAGATTGGATTCAGCCTATCTGCCTTCCCAATTCAGGACAAGAGTTTGCAGAAGGTACAGTCTGCTGGATTTCAGGATGGGGTCTGACTGATGAAGGAGGTAAGTATGATTTGAGAAATCATCATGTTATCTTAACCAGGGCATCTGGACTCAATGTTGCTAGGCCAAAGAGGTGAAAGTTCCTATGAATTGATCCCTGCTGAAAAATGGAGATGGTGGTAGTTTTAGACGTAATCTACCCACCCTCCAATCTTAAAAATCCCACTGAGACTTACAAGAAGGGAGTCAAGTTAGGTCAAGTCACTGGATGGCTGGTTTGGGGTTAGCGCAAATAGCTTCTCAACCTTACCATCATCTGAAGCCTGATTACCCTTAGGTTAAACTCACCACCAAGTCATCATTCTCTATTTAGAGAGCAGCACTATGATCCTCTAGGTATGTGGCAACTTTATCATAGAATCCCTGCAGCCAGGAAAGAAGCCATTTGGCCCATCAAACCTGCACTGACTCTCTAAATCAGACCCAGTCCCCCACCCTAACCCCTTAACCCCATATTTGCTGTGGTTAGCCCATCTAACCTGCACATCTATGGTCATGATGGGGCAATTTAGCGTGGCCAATCCATCTAACCTGCACATCTTTGGACTGTGGGAGGAAAACAGAGCACCCAAAGGAAAGTCACGCAGACATGAGAAGAACGTACAAACTCCAAACAGACAGTCACCAAAGGCTAGAATCAAACCTTTGCTCCCTGGCTGCCAGGCAACAGTGCTAACTATGGAGCCACTGTGCCATCCCTAACTTTACTTTTTACAAGCAAGGAATGGTCTATTGCATGAAGTGTTGGTGGGAAGCTGTATTCATAGAGTGACCCTGCAGAAAGAATCAAAACCTTCAGATGGAGAGCAATTTATGTTTGACAAGGGGAGATAGTGTTCTGCTGGGGAATAGCACAGTGTCACCATGTATTAATGCACATGCATGCATTGTCACCATACTGTAAATCATGGGACTATCTTGTAACTCCATATTTAGTTGGTCAGTCTTAGTAACAGACAGGGAAAGTCCTTCAGGGTTCTCATTCCTGACCCTGATCCCCAGAGAGATGGGAGGCAGGTTCATTGAATACTTTGAGGCCTGAAGTAGGTAGTTCTTGACAAACAAGGGAGTCCAAGGTTATTGAGAAAGGACAGGAACGTAGTGTTGAGACCACAATCAGATCAGCCATGATCCTATTAAATGGTAGGTCAGACTCAAATTGTGGCCTGCTCAAGTTCCTAGTTTCTATTTATATTTGTATTTTAATTGCTGCTGTACTGTTGAAACCTGGCTCTGACAGTTTTTGCTGTGTGATGGTGTACTAATCATGTGTGAAGTATCCTTGATAGAATGTTACCTATGGAACTGTATCAAAGAATCAATGGAAATCATTTTCACATAAAAACACGGGAAGCAAAATATGCTCCAGGGAGCCCAGAACAAAAGATCATGTCTCGCTGTATGAGGTAGGCCAATTTGTTTTCAGTCAGATGGATGGTCAACCTATGGAATTCTCCACCACAGAAACCTGTGGAAGCCAAATCATTGGATATAATTAAGCAAGTTGTAGATAAATTGATGCAGAGCTGAATGAACACAGCAGGCCAAGCTGCTTGGCCTGCTGTGTTCATCCAGCTCTACACCTTGTTTTCTCAGATTCTCCAGCATCTGCAGTTCCTGCTATCTCTGAAACATGTAGATAAATTTCTAGTTTCTGAAGGTATCAAGAGGTATGGGGAGTTAGATATGGTTCTTAGGGCTAAAGAGATCGAATGTTATGGGGTCAAAGCGGGAACAAGGTATTGAGTTGATTGATCAGCCCTGATCATGTTGAATGGTGCAGCAGTAGGCCTACTCCTGGTCCTGTTTATGAAATGGGTTGTGTTAGGTTATAAATGTCATGTTAATGAAGTGTGTCACAGGCCATGTCACCCTATCAATCAAAATCAAAGTATCCTCCATTTTCTAGGTGAGGGGAGTTGAGGGGTCTAGGAGAAATTAGGGGGGGCCAAAAGATAGTCCGTTTTCCAACTGACGTTGATAAATAAAGCATTAATAAGCTCTGTAACTAGAGGCATGCTGAGGCGAGGGTAGGCCAGTGAACAGTTTACATTCAACAGCTTCACACTGATGATAGTACATTTACAGACAGCTAAGAGGGGTACAAGAGTTAAGTCTACATCATACCTTTTGATTTTATTGGACCAGCCAGACTGACTGGAATGAGCTTTTCCAATCCTTCACATCCCTTTGTAAGTGAAACATAAGAGCTCAGATTTTCCAGGAACTGAATATATGACTCCATTAGTTGGAATTCTTCCCTCATCCATCACCTTGAGAAATATGTTTTGATACGTTACTGGAAGTAGGTATCAGTCAGCTCAGTTGGCTGGGTAACTAGTATACAATGCAGAGGGATGACAACAGTGTGGCATTAATTCCACACCAGCTGAAGTTGCCATGAAAGTCCTTCCTTCTCCACCTTTCACTTTGCCCTTGGGTTGAATTCATCACCAGTTATCTCCCTGTAATGAGAGAGTAGCCCCAAGGGACTATAATGACTTGACCTGTTTCTTTACTGGAAGTGTAAGTTGATGGTGAATACAGTAGACATCTGGGACCTTCATGAACAATGGGGCCATCAGACATTATGCAGCATGATATAAAAATAAAGATGGAAATGCAGCAGATTAGTGTCAACTCAGATTGAGAAGTAAAAGATTGGATTGTCAAAGGGAGAAAAAAAAATAGACAAAGAACTGAAATGTAAAATTTCCAACTTTAAAAATGGCTAATGACAATTTCCTTCCTTTAGGGATTAAATTCATGCTTTAAATTGTTCCCTTTCTGGGTCAGAGAGTTTGAGTGACATCCATCTTCTTCTCTTTGGAGAGTTGCTTACACTGTAAGTTCCAGCCATAACTTTCCAAAGATGTTAATGGGTGATTAATGTGCAACCAACAACGACTTCATTCAACTCTCAGGAAGGGCAAGAGCAAGTTGGCATTTTTATGAGGTTAAAAGTAGATTGGCACAAATCACCCAACAACTTGGTGATTTCTAACTCGCTGACCATCTCTCCCTTAGCTCAGACTGTCGGGTGATGTAAAAATTAATCACTAAACACCTTAAACTCAGCATTACTTTGCCAGGTAAACCTGGGACAACGTCTTTTTTTTAATCTATTGTTCCATTGAGTGAAACAGACTAAATGATGTGATTTGTAATTCAGCAGATGAAATTTCTGTCAGTCTAATGGAGGCCCAGGTTCCCCTAATATCCAATCATGTGTGCAGCCGCCCAGAAATATACTACAAGAGGATAAGCTCCAGAATGATTTGTGCTGGGTACCTTCAGGGAGGGATCGATTCCTGCCAGGTAATGTTCCAAGATTCACACAACTCTTGGAAACTAGTCACCAATGAGGAACTTTGACCAACAGGGTACCCCCACCCTCTTGTCATTCAGCTTGGTATATTCCATTGTTTATAAAAGTGCCCATTACTTGTAAATGGCTATTTTACTCACCACAATGTACAATACACCTGTGTCTATGGGCCAAGTGATGGAATATGGCACGAGAATAGTTAAGTGCCTGTTTTTGGCTGGCACAGACTTGATGGCCTGAAGGGCTTTTTTCTGTGCTGTAGATCTCGATGACAATAGAGTCATAGAGTTATACAGCACAGAAACAGACCCTTCGGTCCAACCTGTCCATGCTGACCAGATATCCTAAACCGATCTAGTTCTATTGGCCTGCATTTGGCCCATATCCCTCTAAACCCCTTCTATTCATGTACTCATCCAGATGCATTTTGAACGTTGTAATTGTATGACCCTCCACTACATCTTCTAGCACCCCATTCCATACATGCACCATCCTCTGCATCAAAAAGTTGCTCCTTAGCTCCCTTTTATATCTTTCTCCTCTCACCTTAAACCTATGCTCTCTAGTTTTGGACTCCCCTACTCTGGGAAAAAGACCTTGGCTATTCACTCTATCCATGCCCCTCACGATATTATAAACCACAATAAGGTTACCCCTCAGCCTCTGATGCTCCAGGGAAAATAGCCCCAGCCTATACAGCCTCTCCCTATAACTCAAACCATCCAACCCTGGCAACACCCTTATCAATCTTTTCTCCACCCTTTCAAGTTTGACAACATCTTTCCTATAGCAGGGAGACCAGAATTGAATGTAGCATTCATCAGTGATTTCCACAATTTCCTAAAATCCCACTGAGAGTCTACTGTAATTTCTCCATACATTTGCTCACCATCAATTCCCCCCCAAACCTCATCTGTGTCCGTAAACTGGATAGCAGTAAGGTGCTGGTATCACATTTGGTTTAGTCGTGACTCTGTGGGGAGCACCTCTCCCTCTGAATCCAATGGTTTTGGATTTAAGTTTCATTTTCAATGATGAGAATGTGTACTATAATGGAGCCACGGCTGAATTCAGCGCCACACAGTGTGTTTCATAGCTACTAAAGCGATTTGAAACGTAATCAATGTCGTCCTGACATTGGAAGGACCATTCCTGATACCAAGTGTACAGTGTGCAATCTTCCTAGGGATGGTGCCCCCTCTTCCAGCTAGTTAAGGACGATGGGGCCCAGTGTGAGCCCGGATGGCAGCAGCGGCAGTCAGTTGTGAAGGATGGCAGCAGCGGCGAAGGGGCGGTCGGGCTCGAAGCCTTGAGAGTGGAGGCGAAGCCTGGCGTGCCCGGTGGAGATCTGCAGCAGTGGTCAGCGGCGAAGGTGGCTGGCGGGCATGGGTGGGTCTTAGCCCAGCGCGGATGAAAGAATGCCCAGCCATGGGGAGAGCGAGCCCTCTTGGGGAAAACTAGCTTGGAGCATCTGCAGGCCCATGGCTTACAAAAGGACTGTAATGTTTGCCTTTTTAACTTCATTTCTTTACTATTCTACTTTTAAACTAAGAAGACTGTAGTGGTGGACTTTTAAACTTATTTCTTTACTTTTCTATTTCTTTAACTAAGATATTGTACCTGGGTGCAGTGTACCTAAGATGGCACCATGTGTGGTGACATTTCACTGTACTCTTATACCCTGTACTTGAGTACATGTGACAATAAAACTTAAATTGCAATCTCAAATCTAAATGTTGCTGAGGCATCAAGCTCAGTTACAGGCTTCTCAGCTGGAGAAGGCTTGAGGAAGAGAGTTGGGTGCCGTTCAGGCAGAAAGCAATGTGTGACAGTGCCTCGAAATGGAGGTGTCTTAATGTCAGACATTGATTTTTAAATTAGCATCTGGAATTGCGAGTTGGATTCATTAAAAACGACTTTGTCTTTCGAAAGGATGAAAATGATTTCAAATCTGTATGCATACTGCTCAATCTAGTCGCATCACTATCTATCCCACACGAGTATATCATCTTGAGGTTGGTTGGCTCGCCGAGCTGGTTTGTTGTTCCGCAGATATTTAATTACCATGCTGGGTAACATCCTCAGTGCAGCCTCCAAAGAAACGTCGGTGTGTTTTCCCGCCTGGTTTTTAAACTCTGGGGTCCGTTGAGCTGGATTACCTCACTTCTGGTTTTCCTTCGTAGTGGAAACGTCTGCGAAACAAGAAACCAGCTCGATGAGTCAACTAACCTCAGCACCCACAACTCGAGCTACAAATCTACTCCAAAATCTGAGAGTCTATCAACTGTTAAAATAGTGGCATATCCCAGCAATTTGTGAGCAATCTCTTCCAGCCTTAATAAAGATCACAATAGAAGCAGCCTATCGTATTCAAACAATTAAAAACAAACCAGTCAAAGGTGTGGAAGAAAGACTGAAATTGCTGGGGAAACTTATCAGGCTAGAAGCATCTGTGGGAAGGAAGTGGAATTAATGTGTTGAGCCCAATGACTCTTCATCAGAACTCCACAAAATTGTTGAATTTTTTTCTGGACAAATGATCTTGGTTTTTTTTTAAGGTAGCTCTCCAAACAAGCTAATGGAGTAGGCACTGGAAAACACAACTTTAGTTTCAATAACTGGCATTTGGAGAGAGGAGTCACACAACATAGCCAAACACTCTGTGTCTGATTTAAGCACATTGTTTTGAGCAGAATATCAGCAGCAGTTAAGCAGCGGAAAAAGCTACTACAATTCTCTCTTATTCTCTACCTAAAAGCAAAGCCCAGTCTATTATTTTAATTGTGTCTCTATTCTACTGTGGACAGAGTTTGTAAAAGAAAGAATACAATTTCACATCAAAATCTTCAGAGATGAAGAAAATACCAACTACAACTTCAAACCAACTCAGGGATAAAAGTGTGTCAACTGGATCCTAGCTGTAGTCGGGCAAGACAACAAACTGTGAATTTCCTTTATCTTTTTAAGAACTCTTATTTGGCCAAAATGTATCTTCCTCTACTTTGCAATCTGTATTTTAATATGCTCTTCAAGATATAAGTAGGTTTGTGTTCATGCGTTTGAGGAAGTCAGAAGGTATTTCAATATTTTACCCAGGTCGGTTTATAGTGTAGTAAAACTACCTCTTTATTTTTATTCACCTTATGAAAGCCAGTGTGAGAAATTCTTCATCAGATGTTAGCAGTTAAACGCACATTAAAATTGACAAGGCCAGCTTCATCCAAAACAAAATAAAACCTTGTTCCAGTCATAAGAACAGAAATGAAAGAGGAGCTTTTCAATCCTTCAGTACAGATTTTAAGAAGTATGGAAACAAATTCCCATCATTGGGTTTACTCAATTATATCTTAACTCTATGCCTTCTGATTACTGATTCTATTGTCACTGAAATCAATAGGTTCCCTATTTATGCTTGCAAAACCTTGTATAATTATGAATTCCTCTGTTAAATTTCACCTTTTGTTCTAAAGGCAACATCTCAGATTCTCTCGCCTTGCCATAGATTTGATTTTTTTTAAGCTCGCCTCCAATTCAATGTTGGTAGTTTAAGAAGCTTCTAATTCCTCTCTTTCCATAGATTAACATTCGTCAAAATAGCCCTTGCACTGCAAGTTGTTTAAGAGTTCTGCTTCCCAAACCTTCACATAATTAATCACGAATGTGGATTATATCTAAGTCTCTGTGTACATCTGTCTCGCTTTAACATTTGTTGAGATTGTGGGCTGAATTTTGCCTTAACTGAACTGCAAGCTTTCTATTGACCCTTACACACCTGGACGAAGAGCCTACAACTTGGCCACAGTTGGACCAAAATCACTGCCCAATAACTGTTTCACACACAGAGAGAGGGACCGTGACCCCTGAGTATCCACAATGCTGGAATCCCAACCTGAAACACTGCGTATCCCATGTACAACTCTTGCATTCTTGAGATGTGGATATGCATTCTCCAAAGGGGATTTATGTATGACTTTCTGTTCACCTTGGAATTTTTCTCTTGGGCACAAAACAGGGAGACAGCGGAGGCCCCCTTGCCTGCAAGGAGAACAATGCTTGGAAATTAGTTGGAATTACAAGCTGGGGAGCAGGCTGCGCAAATCAGAACAAACCTGGAGTGTATGCACGGGTCACTGAATACCTAGACTGGATCCACAAACAAATGGAGGTACACACCAACGAGCCGGGGCTCTGTGCTCACAATGTTTAGTCACTTTGTGTTCCTGTCTTTTCCTTCCCCCTGCATCAGTCTCAGTTCCCTGACCTACAGAGCAAAATGCTAGTCTGCCACCTGGTCTCTACCACTCCCAACCTGTGATTACTTTGACGTTAGGACTCAGGTATATTATCATTGCCAGACTTTGACCTGGACAATTTTTCCACACTCCACATGAAGGTTTTAGGATAACAGAGGTCTGGTTTGCTAAGTATGCTTTTTGTTTTCCTTACTTAGTTTTATGCCTAGTAATTGGAGCTGCGACTTTGAGGGAATAGTTTTCAGTTTTGCTTCCAATTTCTGGTGGAATGTAAATTGGGCAGGGCCTACAATGTGTGGTTCTACAGTCGACAGGTAATTAGCCGCTCCAGGTTCCCGCTCGGACAACAGAGTTCAAATAATGCAGTTGTCATGCTGCCATCTGCAAAAGATGCCAGGGAGTGCAACCTAAGAATATTAGCAATTATTTGCTGCACTTTTTTCTGATGGCTGGGCTCGCTGATTCTGCGAGGTACAGGCTGCCACCAAGGCCACACGTAAAGTTGTTTTTCACTGGTGATGCCAGTTGATGACGCAGGGCTGGTATCTGCTTTGGAGATTCTAAATCCGCACATCAGGTTACTGTCAGGAGTTAGCGTCACATTTGCTTCAGTGGCCAGCTAAAGTTTTTCACTTGCCATCATTGTTACTGTGGGCCTTCATGCCTCTTTTGATCATAATCTTGGGCACTCTGTTTGTCTCTTATCACAGGCAACCTCCCTGCATTGCATAGCCTTGGAGATGCAGTCTTGCATGGATGGCCAAGCTTTTAAAGCTTTCCTTGCTTGAGTAATGTTAGCAGGCCTGGTATATTTACCAGATAGTAGGAACTGCAGATGCTGGGGAATCTGAGATAACAAGGTGTAGAGCTGAATGAACACAGCAGGCTAAGCGGCATCAGAGGAGCAGGAAAGCTGACGTTTCGGGCCTAGACCCTTCTTCAGAAAATTTCTTCAGAAAGTTTTTCTGAAGAAGGGTCTAGGCCCGAAACGTCAGCTTTCCGGCTCCTCTGATGCTGCTTGGCCTGCTGTGTTCATCCAGCTCTACACCTTGTTATCTCTGGCATATTTACCATTAGATTAAAAACTTCCCCTAGTATTTATGTTGCTCAGGATTAATAAATGTGGAGCTAGAAGAGCACAGCCAGACAACATCTGACCAACCTTTCACTGACCAACCACAATAACCCTCTACTGCATTTACCTAGCTCCATCTCACCTATCCTTCCCCCAGCCTCACCCGCTCCCCTATTTATATCTGTGCTTCCCTCCTTCTTCCCAGTCCTGATGAAGAGTTTCGGCCCAAAACATTGACTTTCCTGCTCCTTGGATACTGTCTGACCTACTGTGCTTTTCCACCTCCACATTTGTTGACTTTAGCTTCCAGCATCTGCAGTCCTTACTGTCTCCATTTATGTTGTTCATGTCTGCAATGATAGGGGAGCTCAGTCTGTCCTGCTGAGGAAATAGGAACAAACTTAATGCACAAACTTCCAAGTCCTCCATATTCAATGTTTGCTTCTCTGATAGAAGACTTCTCCCTCCACTGTTATGGACCAGACTGAACCCCCTCAAACCATATTCAGAAGTTAGTCTAAACCCTAGCTTTTTATTACTTTGAAGGTAAGTGTAAGGTATAGCCAAGAATTGGCTTAACTGTAACTCAATTGAAATGCTTAACAAAATCATAGATATGCTAACTTCTACTAATTAACTGTTCCAATATAGTAACATCTCATTAAACACACTGTTGACAAAGGCAAAGTCAGTAAAACAGATTGTCTCACATGCAATTCTAGCAGCAGGAAGAGAACCTCAGCTTTTAGCTGCAACAGCGAATAGAATAAGCTTCCATATCCAACTTCTAGGCCCCAGCCACTACAGAAAGCTAAGACTAAAAATCCTGGTTCTGTGGGAGCTTGACCCCACCCATTCAGGCTGCTTCTATCATTCAAACTTTAAAACAAAAACCAAAGCCTCACACGCAGAGGAGCAGGAAAGTTGACATTTTGGGTCAGGACCAGAACTGACCAGAACTGTCAACTTTCCTGCTCCTCTGATACTGCCTGGCCTGCTGTGTGCCTTCAGCTCCGCACTGTGTTATCTCTGACTCCAGCATCGGCAGTTCTCACTATCTCTGAGTGAGTTATAACCCCACTGCGAAGCCTCTTCCAAGGATGTCCACCTTGAAGAAGTTGTCCTCCTCCCTCCGGAATTTTCATTTCTGAAGAAGGGTCCCTACATGAAACGTCAACTTTCCTGCTCCTCTGATGCTGCCTGGCCTGCTGTGTTCCTCTAGCTCCACACTGTGCTAACACTTATTCTATGGTTCTTCCCACCTTAATTCCTTTTCCCAGCCCCTACTTGTGTTCAAAATACTTTCTGAACTTTCTTCCCTTCCTTTGTGCTTTGGCTCCCTCCAAACCCATTTATATTTCTGTTTGATGTCAGATTGGTAACCAAAGTCCTTTCTCCATCCAATTGTGGCCTCTAGCCAGCCCCCTCCACCCCGTCCCTGTCCCCTCCCCACTCCCTCGCTCTCTTTTTCTGGGGAGGATCATTGTAAAGGCAAGTTGTTGTAACTAATGGTATGTTCAACTTATCTTTATTTCACAGAGAGAAGAGTCAAATGGCTGAAGACAAGAATAAATGAAATATATTTTAATAAATTGATGCCTACACTTTAAGCCTATTTCTAAAAATAATTGTATCTTTTGAGGTCATGCATCAATTATCTTCTGAGTTATTTTACTGATGCCTTCATTCTCTTTCTTTGGAGACTGATATGAAATAATGGAATGATTTCAAGTTTTCATATAAGGTTGTGAGATGAACAGACTTCCCAGGGCCACACACCATTCTTATCTCAGCTGACAGTCAGAACCAGAGTTGAAAAGTCTAATACTAGGGGGCATGCATTTAAGATAAGGAGGGAAAGTTCAACAGAGATGTGAGGGGCAAATTTTTTACACAGAGAGTAGTAAGTGTCTGGAACGCACTGCCAGAGGTAGTGGTGGAGATGGATACAATAAGGGCATTTAAGGGACTTTTAGACAAACACATGAATAAGCAAGGAATGGAAGGATATGCACCAAGGGAAGGCAGAGGGATTAGTTTAATTTGGCATCATGTTCGGCACAGCATCGTGGCCGAAGGGCCCATTCCTGTCCTGTACTGTTCTATTCTTTGTTCTATGGCAGTTTTGTTAACTAAAACGCTTACAGTTAAAGGGCTCCCTCAAGCTGAATTTACCTCTGATGTCAATCAACAGTGAGATGGAAACATTTTCCATTCAAAAGCTGACATACTACTGAGGATCTAAGAGAATGATTGACACCTTGCTAAACAAATGCTGCATTCGATGAGTGAGATAAGAATCTTCTGAGCTCTTAAGAGCCCTGGGCTACGATGAGAAATATGTGAGATCAACAGTTAGGAGCTTCCCAACATCAAGAACAAGAAGTGTCATTTTCCAACTCACCGTCGAATGGTGAGAGGGGATTCTCACTACCGAGAAGCAAGAGACCTATTTACATTCAGCGAACATTAATGTATCATCATGACATTGTTGTTATGAGGAAGGCGATGGCCTAGTCATATTGTCGCTAGCCTCAAAATCCAGAGACTTAGGTCATATCCTGGGGACACCAGGTTCGACTCCCATTACTGCAGATGGGGAGTTTGAATTCAATAAAATAAAATCTGGGTTTGAAGTGTAAGGACGATCATGAAACAATTGTCAGTTGTTCTAATAATCCATCTGGTTCACTAATGCCCATTAGAGAAGGAGACTGCTAGCCTTGTCTACATGTGAGTCCAGAGCCACAGCAATGTGGGTGACTCTCAAATGGCCTGGAAAGCCATACAGTAGCATGGACTGCAGTGATTTAAGACGGCAGCTCGAGATTACCTTCTCAAGGGTAACTAATTATGGGCAGTAAATGCTACCCAGTCAGTGATGCCCATGATTGAATATTAAAAAAATGTCTCAACATTCTCAGTGTCACCATGACCCAAAGCTAAACTGAGCTAGCCATATAAACACAGTGGCTACAAGAGCAGGTCAGAGGCTAGGAATCCTGCAGCGAGCAATTCACTGTCTGACTCCCCAAAGCCTGTCCACCATCTACAAGCTACAAGTCAGGAGTGTGGCGGAATACTCCCCACTCGCCTGGATGGGTGCAGCTCCAACAATAGTGTCAAGAATTTTGGCACCATCCAGGACAAAGCAGCCCCTGCTTGATTGACACTACCTCCCCAAGCATCCACTCTCTCCACCACCGACGCTTCAAAGCAGCAGTGTGTACTGTCTATAAGATGTACTGAAGTAATTCACTAACGATCCTCAGAGAGCACAATCCTAACTATCAAAAACCTCCACCTAGAAGGACAAGGGCAATAGATATGTGGGAAACACTGCAAGTTCCCCTCCAAGTCACTCACCATCCTGACTTGGAAATATATTACTGTTCCTTCAGTGTCGCTAGGTCAAAATCCTGGCATTCCCTCCCTAACAGCTTTGTGGGTCTACCTACAGCAACAGTTCAAGTAGGCAACTCACCACCACCTTCTCAAGGGCTCACCTGTGGCTATTAATGATGGAAATATCTCAGCAAAAGGCCCAACAATCACTTCCCTAGCTTACCACACAGTTCTTGGGTACACCTGATCAGTTCCTGGGGATTTATCCATCTTCGTGCATTTTAAGATGACCAGTACCTTCTCTTCTGTAATATAGACACTTTTCAAGATATCACTGTTTATTTCTCCAAGTTCTCTAGCTTCTATAGCTTTCTCTGGTGTTTGAGATGACTGAGTTTCTCTCTAATGCTTTATTATGGCAGTTATTTTAAAAGCCACAACCGAACATTGACATGGAAAACATAATGGTTTATTTTGCATAATGCATTTAAAGTTAAGTATATCAGAAATAGAACAAACAAATTAGAGGTCAAT